GAAGACGGGGGGGGTTCTTCAAGGCAGCATTGGCCCATCATCCAGGAAACCCCCAAGCGCCTCTCAATGCTTGTTGTCCAGCCCTGAATAGAGTTATCAATGAGGGTTACAGACTGCTTCCAAATTCTTCCCCAGATTTTGGCGCTGTGCATGACCGGGGTTACTATTTAGGGCTGCGCCCCCTTGCGCAAGACCATTTTTAGAAATAACCCCAACAAAACACAAAACGAGGGCGAGAAATAACTGTTCAAGGTGGTTTTACCATGAGTACCCCCCCCCCCCCCTCCAGATGCAGGATGGAAGGAGTATGTTGAAAGTAGAAAGAGGGTGAAGGAGTTGGTCGTGAAGAAGAAGAAAGGGTTGTGGGAGGAAGTAGTCCAAAAGACTAACGAAGATTTTGAGGGGGGGATGAAGCAAATGTGGGTAGGAATTCAAGGGATAGTGGGCAAGAAATGAGGGGGAGACACGGAAATAACGACACTAAGATCTGCCGAGGGTAAGATGGTAAGCAGTTCTAAAGGAAAGAGGGAAGTACTAGTAGAGCACTACCGCAAACTTGGGACACCCACCACCAACGACAACTTCGACTCGGAGTTTGAGAAGGAAATCAACTCGTGGGCAGGGGAAAACGTTGAAAGATCTCGGAGGGAACGTAGTGATGTAGACGGGTTGCAGAGAGATTTCACACGACAAGAGGTAGAGGACTGCGTAGCGAAACTCAAGAATAGAAAAGCGGCAGGGGCTGATGGAATTGTGAATGAGCTTTTGAAACAGGAGGGGGAGGGGATGATTAACATGTTGGTCCGGATATTCAACTGGATATGGAAACACGAGTACGCGCCGAAGAGATGGAGAGAAGGAGTAGTCGTGAACCTGTTCAAAAAGGGGGATAAAACTGACCCGGGGAATTATAGAGGGATAACCCCGCTGAGCACAGTGGGGAAACTGTTTGGCAAGATGACAGACAATAGAATGGGAGACATGTTGGAGGGGAAACAAAAGATCAGCGAAGGACAAGCTGGATTTAGACCAGATCGTAGTTGTGTAGACCATGTATATACGTTGAGTAAAATTATCCAAGGTAGGAAAGACGCCGGGCGTACGACATGCTGTTTCTTCCTAGATGTACGAAAAGCCTACGACACCGTATGGCGCAATGGATTGTGGAAAAAGATGTGGGACATCGGGATCCGGGGGAAAATGTGGAGGATTTTGAAAAAGATGACAGAATGCACAAGAAGTGCGGTGATGTTGGATGGGGAATTTTCGAAGTACGTGGATATACTCCAAGGAGTTGCACAGGGCTGTACGATGTCACCCACTCTCTTTAAGATTTACATCAACGATTTGATAAGGGCGGTTGAAGCAGTAAGACAGGGAGTCCAAGTAGGGGGAAAGAGTGTGTCCGGACTGATGTTTGCAGATGATTTCGTGGGGGTATCCGAAACACCAGAAGGGTTGCAAGAACAAATAGATGCGGCGGTAGGATACACCCGAAAATGGAGACTGTCGGCGAACGTAGGAAAATGCGCAGTAGTGGTCTGTAACGAAGACAGAAAAATCCCATAAATAGAATTCAAATGGAAATGGGGGGAGGAAGAACTACCGGTAGTAGACAAGTATACGTACCTGGGAGTAGAGATTTCGAAGGAGTGCTCATGGGACGCACACATAGCAGAGTTGATTGGGAAGGGTAAAGCTCAGATAGGCAAGATGGACGAGATCCTTACGGACCCACACCTAGACACTAGGATTAAGAGGTGTATTCTCTTGAATGTGATTGTACCTAAGCTAGAGTATGCAGGAGAGGTATGGGAAGGTAACGAAAAGGCCGTCAAGCAGCTGGAAACGGTGCAGATGGCAGCGGCCAAGAAACTACTAGGATGTTCAAGTACAACGAGCAACACTGTATTGCGAGCAGAATTGGGAATGTACTCTCTTAAAACAAAAAGAGACATCCAGAAGATGAATTGGCAGTACAAGGTAAGTAGAATGTCGGACGATAGACTACCAGCCATAGTTGACAAGGCAGCTTGGGGAAAAGCGACTCCAGGGAAGAAGGGAATCAGATGGGACAAGGTGGTAGAGAAGGTTTGGAAGGAGATAGGAGACGTTGGACACGGAAGGGTTCGGGGGGTTCAAGACGAAAGTCAAGGAGATGCTAGAAAGTAGGGAGGAGGCAACCCTTCGGAAGAAGGTACGAAGCGAAGACCACTTGGAGATATACGGGAAGTTGAAAGAAGGGATAGGGATGAAGACGTACTTGGACGGCCCCATGGACTACGCGAAAAAGATGAAATTGCAATTTCGAGTAGGCGATCTGGACCTGCCAGAACGGAGGAAGAGGTATACCAGCCGTAGGAGAGAGGAAGAGGAGGATAGACACACATGTCTATGTGGCAAATCGGAGGAGAGTAGACCCCACATAGTTGGGGAGTGTGAGTTGTACAGGAAGGAAGAGAGGATCTCGAGGAGGAAATGAGACAGAGAGGGTGTGACATGGACAAGTTTGGTAAATTAGACAACAGCGAAAAAACGATCGCGATAATTGGGGATAGATGGTGGGCACAAGAGGCCCTAGAGGACGGGGATAAGATGTGCAAGAA